CGTTTATGTTGATGTTGTTGTTGTTGTTTATAATGTTTTGATTATGTTTAAACCAAACCATTGTTTCGTAGTTATTTACGACGTTCTTCAAACTCAATAATTGTGTAGTTCGCTTAAGTTGTTAAGTTTCTTTTTGTAGAAACTGCTTGTGTTTTTGTTGATGTTGTTGTTGTTGATGTTGTAATTGGATGATCTGCGCCTACGCCTGTGGGTTTGTGCGAATTTAATTTGGCATGTTGTTGTTAGTTCTGGTGTTGTTGTTGGTTGTTGTTAGTATATTTAGAGCTGTTGTTGTTAGTATATTTAGGGCTGTTGTTGCATTATAACTTCTTGATTGCCTTTGATGTCAATAAAATTTTGGAAAAAAAAAATTGTTAGTTTTTTCATGTAAATTTTGTATTGCTAAGGTCTGATTTGTGTGACGACGTTACGTCATAAAAAAATTTCACTTTCTTTTCTGTTCACCTAAAACTATTTATGCGACCAAAATTCTTAAATTGCTAGTGATTGCAATAGAAAATTTATTGAACTTTCAAAGTTGACGTAAATATTTCTTTCATTGTACTTCTCGTTCATAAATTCTCGGTTTTTAACTGTGTTTTTTTTCAATTTACCGATTTTTTAAACTTAGTTTTTATTATCGTTGCTAACTTTTATTTCCATTTTTCTCACTTTTTTCTAATTTTTTAACATCGTTCCCTTTCTCTCTTTCTTTCCGTTGTATACCTTTTTTTCTAACTATACTTGTTTTCTTTCTCTGCTTTGTTCTTCTGTTTCTCTGTTTGTCTGTTTCATTCTGTCTTTTTCTCCTTTTTTCTTCTTTTTTTTTCTCTCTTTCTCCCTCTCTCTCTCACTCTCTCTCTCTCTCTCTTCCTAGCCAGCAATTTAATCAGACAAGAGGGATAATTGGAGTGAGCGTACAATGTCTCAAATGTTTCTAACCTGGTTAGTAGCCCCTCTCTGAGATGGCTGCTACCTTCTCGTCTCATCCATTTGCATTTTTATTTTTTACGAAGATTTGATTTTTTTAACGGAATTTGTATGTGATAATTTTTATTATTATTTCTTCTCTTTCACTCTTTTTTCTCTACTTTTCTCCCATTTTTTCTTTCCTTCCCTTGTTATCTCTCTCACTCTCTCTTTATCTCTCTCTCTCTCTCCACCGAGTGATGTGTGTTGATGTGGTTAACGTACGAATGATTAACAACGTTTTCAGGTTAATGTTTCATTCATTTTTTATTTTTTGCTTACTATGACTATTTTAAATCTTTAAGTTGTTTATGAACCCGGCGTTCAATCAAACCAACCAACCAACCAATCCGAATCAACCAACTAACCAGCCAACAGACCTACCAATCAGCCAACAGACCTTTCAACTAACTAATCAATCAACCAGCCAACCAACCGATCAACCAACCAACCTACCAAACCATTCAATCAAACAACCGACCAGTCAACCAACCTATCGTTAACGTTGGTAAGTTCGACGTAATTGTTTCTTGCACTCTGCAGTCGCTGCAGTATCTGCGCGAAAGGAGTGACTATCTGATCTTCCGGGTAGGGACTGAAGATGATGATGATGAAGAAGAAGAAGATGAAGAAGAAGAAGATGATGAAGATGAAGAAGAAGATGATGATGATGATGAAGATGATGAAGAGTAAGATGATGATGACGATGACGAAGAAGAAGATGATGACGAAGAAGATTATGAAGAAGAAGATGATGAAGAAGAAGATGATGAAGAGTAAGATGATGATGACGATGACGAAGAAGAAGATGATGACGAAGAAGATGATGAAGAGTAAGATGATGATGACGATGAAGAAGATGATGAAGAAGAAGAAGATGAAGTTGATGAAGATGATGGCGATGACAGTAAAGAAGAAGATGAAGGTTATGGGGATAATGGTGAAGAAGAAGATGATGATAATG